ATTTTATATATAGATGAGAAGCGAAACATCTTCAAAGAAAAACAAGAAACTCCAGTTGCCTCTTGAAAAAGCACCTTTGGGACAACCATGACCTGGATGACTGAGAATCTCCATACACATGATTTTATATACTTCTACTATGTCTCTCCTTGCTGGCAGCCACAGCCAAAGTTCATTTCTTTATTTGCTCATACCCAATAGACAGAAACTTGCAAGACTAAACTAATACTACTCTACCCTGGGACATTCTAGGGAGTTGCTATCTTAGCTGTGGGCTGTATTGCCTCTTATCTTACCCTTCTCCTTATTATATGCTCTCTCTTTCCTGGGAATCTGCTGCTTCACCTTACTCTAGTTATCCTTCTTCATTTCAGGTTCTTCTTTTTTTTATTCCATAGGGCAGTTTCTCAACTTCAGCAGCTTTAAGATGTGTGGACTCCTAGAATTATCCAGCTGGCATGCCACAGGAGAATGTTCTATGGTAGGTCTCTAACCATTGGTTGTCCCCCCTCACCACCACTTTGTCGTGGCATCTTGTCAAGCTTGCAGTATTCTTTTGAAGAATCTGAAAACAAATACTGTCGGCATTCCTTCTGGTGAGGTCTTACCACAGATTTGTATAAGGGTGTTCTTCTTCAAGTTTGGAGAGGTCCTTCTAGAACTTTGTGACTTTACCACCCTGACAGGCTTTAAATCATCAACATCCCTTCACTCATCTGTCCAGAGTCCATTGATACAAATTAAAAAAACACCAGTCCCAAAGCCAATTCTCACTTTATACGTCTCACTAATAGAAGAAGTGCCCATTTACTTAACTGTGAAAAAGCCTGCAAGTCCTACAGTATATACCTTTTATCATAGAGCGGATTACTGATATGTAAGCTCTTTCAGGAGTTGCACACGAGGTGAATGGCAGCATGAATGTAGCACAGTTCCTGTCTTGCTCTGTTTACTTTATTAGATAATTTACTTCCAAGCATGAGAAAGTAGATGGCTTCAATATATAATCCAAGCATAGCATTACTGCAGTGCTAGGCATGTTTGTTTATTGAGTTCTACATCACTTATACTCTAATAGGTATACTGAGATTTGCAGCCTTCTGTCTTCCTGGATATGACTCCATAATAAGTTTCAGACAAACATAAATAAGCTTGTATCGTTTCTGTGGGTTTTTTTAAAAATCCTTCTGCAACATATCTTTAGCATCGTCCTCTATAACCAAAGCACATCGCATTAATTCTGAAATAGGGATTTTTAGAAAATTAAAGATCAACTTGTTCAGCATATGTTCTATCTAGAGATAAATATAGGAAGAGTGCTGTTTTAAATAAAACCATCAGATATAGAAATGAATAATCACAACTTCATCAAAACTAAGTTTTATTTCTCTGAAACATTTAGCGGTAGTAGAAGTAGACAACAAATAAGCCAGTTTTAGGAATAATCCAGCAAACATTCTGAAAAGCTTTTGATAAAATAATTTGTCAAAGTGCCCAGAAAATTTGGTAATCATAAGATAAGAGAAGTTTCCTTATACCTCAGTAACTGAACAAAAAAGAAATATTAAATGAACAATCCTTGGAACGAAAGAACTACATTTGATAAGAATGCTACACTGTTTAGAATGGTTAAAAACTAAAAAAGGAAAGCTTTAGAAATGATCTACCTAAACAAGAACAGTGACATTAAAATGTAAGCAAGTGTCATGTAAAATAACATACTTAAGATTAAAATAATAGCAACTTACCATTTAAATCAGTGAGCTGATAGTCTTATACATATGAATCACTAAATATCCTGTCTTCTATACTGCTATATTTTTAGAGCAATATTCCAGTTTGCTAGCAATTGCAGAAAAAATATTATTTATATTTTGCAATATAATGGAGATTTTCTAATCATCTTTCCCTTTACATTTAAAATGCATTAACTCTCTGCTCTTATTCTTAGAACTGTAAATTTCCTTGATATAAGTATTTAAAATGCAAATCTTCCAAGAAATAAGCTCTTTTTTAATTGTAGTAACTGATATTTGCATGGTATTAGCATACCAATGTTTTTTTTAATGGCTTATTGATCAGAGTAAGTATGTTGCTGAGAAATTCAGGACAGATGAAAAGAAGTATTTTTTCCTATGGCACATATTTAAATTATGAAATTTGCATCTGAAGATAAAACTTAAGAAATGACCACCAAGCGGAAGAACAAGTAGAAGCTGCTCTAGGAAATACTATCAGAGCACAGATGATTTTATTCAATTCTTCTCATGAACCTTTTCTCATTGTGAATATTGGTGTTTCAAATTAAGGTATATTTGATAACTTGCAGTGCTTTATACAATGAGATATTTTTTAGCCTCCTTAGGAATGCCATCATGTACAATCTGACATGACCGTTTCTCCATGCTTGAAAAGGAGTTTAAAAGTCTGTCCTCCTTCAAAGACCAGTTATGATCGTCTTAGATGTTTCCAGATAAAATTCTTATTATCTCATCTCATTGATGGAATTCTATGGGTGGTGCAGAAAAATGAAATGTTTCTTTTGTTTTCTTCAGTCTCTACTATTTTTTTTTTTTCATTTAAGGAAGGGAAGCTAGGATAATCACACTAATAACTTTTGATTGACAGTGTGGGGGAGCTATATAGCTGAAAGCATTTAACCCTAAATGAGTTTAAATTTCCCATCACATTCCAAGTTAGAAGCAGGAATTTCCCTTTTATAATAGGGTGTTGCTCAGCTACTAAACTCTGCTTTTTGTACAGCATTCAGACAAGACAAGAATAAAAAGTCTTCCGTGATTTTGCTTTACATAGAAGATAAATTCTTAATTCTATGTAGTTGCCCTCCCTCTAGCGACAGATGTGAACATTACAGTAAATGAAAGCATTTTATATTTTTATTCCAAGGTTGAGGCTAGTACTAGGACTGAGCTACTCAAAGGCCCAATGCATGTGAAAATATTCATCTGCTTGTGGATCCTATTTATATTTATTATATTGCTTCCAAGGAAAGGGAGCTCAGTTCAGATGTGAACAAATTTGCCCACTGATATCCTGCTATATATTCTTCTTTGGGATTGGATACTGTAAGAAGGACCTCAAGAAATAATATCATCTGGATGTCCTTGTTTGGGGTCGAAAGCTAAGAAAGAACTCTAATACAGGTTAGACTGGGAAGTTTTTAAAAAGTCTAGAAGAAGATATCACAATCTACTTTTATGTTGTCACCACAAAATCTAAGTGCACATGTCCATTAAGTCACCAGGAATCAGCTTTAACTCGAAGGAGACTTAATGATAAGGATTTTCAAAGATATGTAAGTAAATTATATTTAACTATAGCTCATTGGGGCATATATCCCCTTTTTGCCTGCGGCGATAGACCGAAGCCTTGGAACAATAACTGTATTTACCATTAGATTTGTCTGCTTGCTTTTGCATCCAAACCTACTATTGCCCTAATCTAGAATGCAATGTTCCAGTTCCATACACAAAACTAACCATCTTGTTAGAATACAAGAAACATCAGTAGATTAAATAAGGAGGTTACATTTGAGTAGACACGATAAGCAGAGAATGGGGAAAAGAGCAAACACACTTGTTCAAAACAAAAACAGAGGAAGGTCCAGACATGTGAAGAGTGCATCAAAGAGACCTGTCATTTTTTTTTATTTATGAAATTTGATATGGCTGCATATTCTTCCGTATGAATTCTGGTTGGCTAACAACAGTTGACAAAATCAACAGAATAATAAAACCTCCAGAAATCAAGCTAAAAAACAGGGATCAAAATAATCACAATACAATAGCCAAAAATAAAAGTAAAAGATAAAGGTTTCCCCTTCCAATCGTGTCTGATTCTCATCTCTGGATCCTAGCTGAGGGAGCCACTGTTGTCCAAAGACCTTTCCACGGTCAAGGCGCTATATAAACAGACTCAACAAACAAACCAAACTGATAATGGGCTCATCTAGCATCCTGACTCTTCACAGCCTCTTCACAAGGCCCTCCAGATCTCAGAAGCAAAGGTCACAACTGAGAAAACACAACTCTTCATTGTTTAATAGAGGGGACCAACACTGTAAGATCTGGTCCGATAGACAGAAATCTTTAAAGTGTCTTTAAAGGGCAAAAGCCCATTCAGATATTGTTGTATCTTCTCTGGAAGAAGATATGCTTTGGGGTTTTCGCCTGATGCTCAGATAACTTGGCTGCTCTTTGATATTATACACTGAATTTGAGAGGAAATGCCCTATTCTGTCCTGATTAAAGCAGCAAAATGAATCAGGCTAACCTTAATATTGCTGTTGCTGCAGTTGTTGTTTGACAAAACCAGTATTGCATGTCTCTTTTCTGAATAGGCTGATAAAAATGATTAAAAACTATTTATAATGTGCTTCATGTCATTGCTTAAATATGCAAGTTTAGGGATTTTCTATCTCTCACCAGTGCAGGTACCAACCAGGCTAATTCTCTGTCTCAGGAAGTCAAAAGTTTTTTTTTTTTTAAATAATGATATATATAGAATCTATAACAATGCAGTAATGCATGTTTCCTTAGAAAATACTAGAGGTTCAGTTTCTTTTGCCTATTCTACTGTTTGCTGGAACAAACACCAGCTATTGCATATTCTGTGATTTTATACAATTTTACACATGTAAAAAAAAGATATAACTGATACATTATACTCTGAAATACATCCTACTGCTGTCAAACTCTGATGAAAGCTGTATGCTAAGCTTGATTTATTTTTATTTTTCTATATTTTTGGGGGTTTCTTTAGGCAGATCACCACATGTTATTTTTTTCCCCTCCAATTTTAATCCAGGAAAATAGCATAGTGAAAGTCTGATAAGAACTCACAAAATGAGATCAGCACTCATTTCCTTCCCTTGTAATCCTAAATTCTGATTATTTTTTTCTCTTTTCCAGAATTCCAGACTCATTTTGGCTTCTGTTTTGTCTGAAATAATACTGAACCTGCATATTTCACTTACGTACCTGATTCCAGAGATATCCATGTCTGTAGGGAAAGCATTAATATTTTGACATACAGCCAACTTAGCTCCTAAAATACAAAAATAAGGGAATAGAATAGATTCAGCATTTTGTTTGTTTGTTTGTTTGAAGGCAAAGCTCCAGCAATGAAGCAGGTTGGTGTTGTAGTCATTAAAAGGAAAAAAGTACAAGATGTCTGCCAAGTATTCAATAAGTGCAAGTTCTTGGAAAGGATCAAAACAAATAAATCAAGAAATTGATCTAGTATTGTTGTGTCTTTTGCCAAAAAAAGCAGAAGGCATTACAAAAAGGATATAATGTAATAAAATCAGCATATCATAATTAATATGTAGAAATACTGATTTAAACTTGTGGCATCCTCAATGCTCCCTGGGCTTATTGTTTTCTTGAAGATGTTTCATTAACAAACTAGGTAAGATTATCAGTGCTAGTGGGGAGTGAGGTTTTCTCTTATTTTATATACTAGTGGCTCCCTATCAGTGTTAGTGGGAGTGATCTTGTGGTTCTATCAACACTGACAGGGCAAGCCACTAGTATAGAAAATGAGAGTAAAGCCCACTCCCTACTAACACTGATGATCTTACCTAGTTTGGTAATGAAATGTCTGCAAGAAAACAACCAAGCTCAGAGAGCACCAAGGACCCAGCAGTTCAACTCTGAGCTACATATATTTTTTGTTTATTTGTTTGTTACATTCCTATGTCACCATCTCCCCAATAAGGTATTGGCAGTAAGTTTTCCTGTGATTTGTGACCTGTGTGTCTATACTGTCCTGTTCAGAGATAGACAGTTAATGGGTTCTCCACTCTCAGCATTATATTTCAAAAATCTCAGACTAGATAGACTAGGGCTTTTCAACCAGTGGTACGGGTACCACCTGTGGTACACTGGCACCTGGCAGGTGGTACGCAACCATCCTAGAAAAGTGGTAGAGGGGGAGGGGAATGAGCTGAACCAATGACAGCACTGCACAAGCCTGAGCGAGAGATGGCTAGAGTTGCAGGGCTGTCAGGGTTCAGCAGAAGCACCAGGATCAGTGGTGCTTTCCAGCTGATCGGTGCTTCTTCGGGGCTGTCAGGGCTCAGTGGAAGCACCAAACTCCAACTGGAGCTCGGCGCTGATCCTGGCACTTCCAGTGAGCTGAGAAGAAGCGCGGATCAGCTGGAATGTTGCAGCATCTCCAGGGTCTTGTGATTTACATTCAGATGTTTGGCAACTGATTCATATTTATGATGGTCATAGTGTCCCAGGTCATGTGAAGTGACCAAAACCTGCTGCAACCACCCAGCAGATGGGTGGAATAAAAACCAAACACCCCCCACCCCACCTCACCCCCGCTGCCAATCCCCAACAGAAATGCTCACAACAATGAAAACCTTGAACAGGAGGAAGAGCGCTGCTGGGTGGGCAGGCAGGTGTCTTGCTCGGCTGTGGCTTGGGGGGGGCACTTTTTTAGTGTCATTGTAATTGCGAACAGTCATTAAGCGAACTGTTGTAAGTCAAGGACTACCTGTACTTTATCACTTTTTTCCTTTTTATTTATTTTTTGGTCATCAAGTTTTTGACACCTTGCTAGGCAACTGGTGGTACTCGGATATTGCCATATTCTAAAAGTGGTACAATGGGTGAAAAGATTGAAAAGCCCTGAGATAGACCTTCAGAGAAAGCGTGTCCCTGAATAAGCTGAAAAAGATGGCTGGACTGGGAAAATGGGGTTGGGGTAGTGCTTCTCAGCAAGAGTAGAAGAAAACCAGTGCCAAATATGTTCACTCCACCTCATTCTTATAGCACCAAGACAACTATAATGTGATATGTTTATCACCCCAGCAAGCTTGGACTAAAACTGGCAGAATTGTGCCTCAATTTGTTTTTCAAGGACAATCTAGCTGTCTTTTCAAGGATGCTCTTTAATATGCTTGTCAAAAAAAAAAACCCCTCCATATCTGACAGAAAAATACCTTCCTCATCTCTGAAGTTTATAATGTTATTATTTCATCTTTAGGTTTATCAGCCTGTGTTTGGTTTCCCTGGAAGAATACAAGAATGTTCAGAGAAGCTCATTTTGGTAATCAAAGGGATTCTGGATAGGAACCAATGCTCTGCAAGAGTTTAGTGAGAAATTGTTCGTTTTTCAGAATTTCCAAGCTGAAAGAAAATATACAGAAATTGGGAGGTGGGAAAGTAGAAAAAGAATTATCTGTTCAATGAAACTGGTGACAAGATTGGATTAAGGCAGACATTGATTCACCAAGCTTTTCTAACTTAGCACCTCTCAAGATGTTGGAGAACAACTTTCTAATTGTCAGTTCCTTTGTCCACTGGCCACGCAAGGTGAAAATTATAGAGTTGAGGGGTCCTAGGTGCTCTGCCAGCTTGATTGTTTTCTTGCCGACGTTTCATTATCCAAACTAGTAACATCCATCAGTACTAGTTAAGGAGTGGGGTGTGCTCTCAATTTATATTCTACTGGCTTGCCCTGTCAGTGTTGGTAGGGGTGGTCTTAGAGGTTCTTTAGTTGTTTACTGTTTACTGTTGGCTTGCTTGGCAGTTCCTTGATTGGGATATTGTTTAATTCTTGATTGTTGGTCTGATTTTAATCTTGGAATTAATCTATGCTCATCTGGGCACTGATTTCTGGTGGGGAGGTGCTTTTGTTCCCTTTTTGGCTTGTCCCTTTTGCCTAGCATGTAGAAATTGTTTGTCTATGTGTCTACTGATGACTAATTTGTCAGAATGCCAGGCTTCTAGAAATTCCCTAGCTTTTTGGACTTTGATTGGTTTAGGATGGTGACAGTTTCACTGTTGAAACTATGGTTAAGTCTGTAATTATGGAGTTATTCAACAAGATTTCTGGAAAACATCAGATCAGGAAACGATAACATCAACACTGACCTGAGAATCACTCCTATTGATTATAGTGTAGATTATTTTGGAGTAGGAGATTTAAACTAATATTTGAAAGGAAAAATTGTCAAAAAGATCAGTGCCACCATACATTTTAGTCTTTCTAAAATGAAATAGCCAAAGATACATATCCAATATCCAGTGGTGTGGCATGTATTTAAACAATAGAGAGAATACTGCTGGTTATATACCTTTTTTTATTTGAGAGACACTACGGCAAAGGTCCCCAACCTTTGAGTACCATGGACTGGAGGGGGCGTGGCCTTGTGTGCTGCCTGCATCCTGTGGATGGGGTTTTCTTTGTTTGTGCAGACTAGTTGCTGGCATGCCATGGACCGGTACTGGTCCACGGACTGGTGGTTGGAGGCCCCTGCATTACAGCATTAGAGAAGTGGGATAGAAAGCCTTCATAAAATCTAAATAATAAATAATAATAAATAATCCTGATCAATAGCACCTTCAACTGCACCCAAAAACAAATCAGCAACTTATGCAATTCCCATCATGTTAATGTTATATGTCAGTACTGATTTGTCTTGCTTAACATGTAGGCTATTGCATGTATTTGTTGCATCTGGGTGTTCTTCCCAATGGAGAAATTTATAGTAGTCCATCCATGAGGCAACAAGGGCAGTAGTAATTTTGCCGTTGCCTTCTATTCCAGAAAAGGTTGCACCTGACTAGCAGCCAAAGCTGGGGGATGGCTTTGCTGGCCACAGTTCCCACCTGCTTTGAGATGAGAATACAGAAGCATCACTAGAGTGTGCACCAGCTCTTTCTCACAGAGCACAACCCCATCCACAACTAAAGTTGGTATCATCCCAGAATCATTTGGTTTCTGAACCTGTAGCCCCTTCATTTTGGTAGGGTTGAATCTCAACTTGTTTCTACCCAGCCAGACACTTAAAGAACCCTTCCAGGTAGTAATATATTTGCTCTATTTTCCTTTCCACCCAGATTCGCATACCTTTGGTTTAGAAAGGACTGAATCAGTAAATACACTAACAAACCATTAAATATGATGCACCTGTAGCCCATACACAAAAATGTACCCAAAATGTATTCAAAAAAGCCTTCAGGCTTCTTGTAAATATAAATTGATTTTGCATTCCGCTATGATTCAACATCCTTTATCTGCTTCCGCTTCTTTAAAAAAATTAAATAGCATTAACTTCATAGCCAGTGTAGACAAAACTGTGCATGTTGGCTTCAAAAATTCCTCCCAATTGATTAATGCAATTGGTTAATGTTAAGCTTAATTATTTTATAGAATAGTATTTTAATTAATGTTATATTTGCTATGTGTATTTGGATTCCCCGACCACTTGCTCCCTCTACTGACCGCATCTCTGTGCTCACGTTGTGCATGACAGAGAAGTACAAAAGGTTAGTTAGTGACAGAATTAGAAGAGTCCTAAATAAGTTGTAGACAGTGACTCATCACCAGATCACTGACACTGACATTTTAGCTTCAGTCAACTGGCCATCTGCACTGGCCATCTGAACAGAGTAGGAATGTTTTGTTCTTAACTGAGAACAGAAAAAGAAAATGCTTTCATACATTTGTGGATTTATGTCATTGTAGTATGAATTCATCCATTTTACACCCCCACCCCCCAAAAAAAAACCTATGCAGGGACATATCATACACAGAGTCAACTACTTTGCCTATCCTATATGTGCCTTTTGATTGCCTGATCGGTCATAGAAAGGGCTCTAATACAGGGGTCCTCAAACCCCAGGCCGCGACCCACTATTGGGTCACAGCCCATCCAGAATGGAGCCACAGAAGCAATGGGTGAGCGTGCGTGCGTGCACAGCTCCATTTGCGGGCAAATGCCAGCCGCTTGCACAAGTGGAGCTGCGCATGTGCACTCACCCACCACTCCCACAGAACCATCCCCGCTCCACCAGTCTGCAAGGCGAGAAAGGTTGGTGATTGCTGCTCTAATATGCTAAGAAATAATTATACTTCAAATAGATTCCACAGCAGAAGCCAGTTAATTAATTCTACAAAGGATGTAAGGCCAATTTCATGAAAATGTCCTGCTTCCTGAAGAAAACATAGTAAATTGTTGAAAGAAGCATGCATTTTTGTAATGGATTTTCCCCATTAAACAGAGAACAGCAGTTATCCTTACCTAC